AAGAAGATATATGTTATTTCTTATGCTTTATATGTTGTTATTTGGAGCAGTTATGCAAACGCTTCGTTGCTTGGGATAGAGAGAAGTGGGGTACACCCTGGGGGTATATATCACTGGGGGAGCATGGTGTATCGCAGGATACACCATGATGTCTGAGATGGTGTATGATGTGAGAGGCCCAGAGATGTCTCCCTGCGTGACGGGAGACATCTCCCGTCACGCAGGGTGCAGTCACACCTCCACAGGTAATGGCTCAAAAGAGCCACCACTTACGGGCTATTCATGCCCGTGCCACCTTTTGGGTGGCTTAATCTTCATCAATCAATCAATGGTGTACCTCTCGGTGTATATATATCCCAGCGGAGCATTTTGTAAATGTTAGTAACGCCATGACACCCTACGTCGTGTCACTTTACGTCGTGTCACTCTACGTTGTGTCTCTACGTCATATCACTCTACGTCGTGTCACTTTAGGTCGTGTCACTCTACATCGTGTCACCCTACGTCGTGTCACTCTACGTTGTGTCACTACGTCGTGTCACTGTCGTGTCACTCTACGTCATGTCACTCTATGTCGTGTCACTCTACGTCGTGTCAATCTACGTCGTGTCACTTTAGGTCGTGTCACTCTGTTGTGTCACTCTACGTCGTGTCACCCTACGTCGTGTCACTTTACGTTGTGTCACTACGTCGTGTCACTTTACGCCGTGTCACTTTACGTCGTGTCACTCTACGTCGTGTCACTGTACGTCGTGTCACTGTACGTCGTGTCACCCTACGTCGTGTAACTCGACGTTGTGTCACTCTACGTCGTGTCACTTTACGTCGTGTCACCCTACGTCGTGTCACTCGACGTTGTGTCACCCTACGTTGTGTCACTCTAGGTCGTGTCACCCTACGTCGTGTAACTCGACGTTGTGTCACTCTACGTCGTGTCACTTTACGTCGTGTCACCCTACGTCGTGTCACTCGACGTTGTGTCACCCTGCGTTGTGTCACTCTACGTCGTGTCACCCTACGTCGTGTCACTCTACGTCGTGTCACTCTACGTCGTATCACCCTATGTTGTGTCGCTCTACGTCGTGTCACTCTACGTCGAATTAATGTACACAACAGCTACTACAATGTTAGAACATAATATGATGAGAATTATTACACTTAGATGCATGAGTTACAATGTAAAAATCATACTTTATAATTAGTGTCCATTATGTAAAGTATGCGGGTATACAGTAAAATACACATATACAGACACATACACATTGATCTATGAGTGGCTCCGGGGACCTGTCCTCGGACCTACTATGTCGCTTTTATGGATTCGACTAATCCGTTAAAAATGCGACGTGTTAGTAAAAATTAGGGCTTCGTAAACCTGACGTTTTCTATGCATTGGCCTCGAACGTCTCTGGTTCATTTTTTACGTTGTTGCAAATCAAGAGAACAGTTGGGTCATCTCAGATATCCAAGCTGAGATCTTGGACACTGGGAGTCCTAGATCAATAGTATATTATAAATATTTGCCAAAAGACTGGCATTGTGACATTAGGCTTTGTTACATTTGAAAAACTCTATAAAACTCTGAGTTTAGCCTTATCTTATCCATCATTTTCATGTTATCAGATATATTTAAGTACAATTATCTTTTAACAGTAACTCCAACACTATGACACAGAGAAGCATTTTCTGAGATAAATGTGTTCACATTACCGGGACCCGGCAGCCTGTTTGTCTTATCGAGGTCCTCCTAAGCCAACTACTGACCTTCCACAGGACTCAACCAACAACAGTTGTCTCACTCCCGAGTTGCTATTTACTTCTAGGTGAACAGAGGTAAAGTTCTCCTAGCACAACTAATGAGCCTCCACGGGATGCAACCCACAATAATTACCTATCTCCTATGCACCCTTACGTGTAAAGAAACGTGCCCAATGTCTCCTCCTGTGCAGGAATAGAACTTGGAACCTTCAGGTTAAGAGGTGACTGCATAGACCAATACGCTATGGGTCACCCATTACGGACACCTTGCCAGATGCCATATTCAAAATCTGTTCCATGGAAATCACAATAATGGTCCTAAACGGATCGAATCGTCGTCGTTTTTTAATTTTCTGATGCGTGATTGGTCATCACGACCGACTTCTACACGAACAGATCTGGGAATGCTGGCAAGGCATCCTATCTGGCCGGGTCTGGCGAGGTAGCATCAAGGTCTCTCTTCTTAGTGGCTTTCGTGCCGTGGGAGGTTCAGATTTCATGAGGGTGACCGCATTAAACAAAGGACAAATCATCTTAGTCTTGGCGGCCTGTGACAGAGTCTGAGGCACTACACTTCTCATCCATCATACACAGCTCTTCTTACCGTCTCTACCGTCTCACTCTGAAAAGTATTCTCTCTCCAGATCATGTCTTCAGAGGCTTGGATTTAGGTTCACTAAGCTATGCCTTCTTAAAAGATTGTCATGAAGGCTCTAGAAGCCACTGCAAGATTCAGTAAGGTGTTCTTACACAGTTATTAGCAATTTTGATCTGGATCTCGATAGCTGTCACTTGTGTTTTTTGTTTACCCCCATCAAACAAAAGATAACGTTGGTCATCTTATCGTTTAGCCAATTACGTTGCCGGATCAGATGGAGAACTGACCAATCACATGCATTTGTATGGAGACCGGTGTTGTTATGGTAGCCTCGAAGTGTCCAGACACCGGCGATGCGTAGCTTTGCTTAAAGATTATGAGGTCATAAGGACATTTATACCTGTTTATATGTCTGTTTTGTAAATGGCATTCAAAAGGTTAAACATTATTAACAAAACTAATTACAGAATTTATCGGAGTATGTGTGGAGTTCAGCACTTGGAGGGCAGGGGACAGGTAGCATCATCCGCCACATAGTTTCGTTCTATTTCATTATAAAATGAGTTATTTTCGAAGTAAAATTATGATTATTCACGTTCCACATTTAATACCAACATTGTAGTAAACAAATGTTATATTTCTTCTTTACTTACGTAATTCTAAGAGGCTTTGAGTAGCTTTGGATATGCACCACAAGGCACCCTCATTAAAACCTCTATATCATTGCTCTCAGGTAAGTTATATTTCCCCTATAATGGATTCATAATAACTCGGTCTTCCTGATGGTATATGATTCTTTAATCATTTTTTAGCGTATTTCTGTCAATAACAGATTAATCAATGTCGCGTTCGGCGCTCGGAGGGTGTGGAGACAGATGCATGGTGAAAATACTGGATATATATATATTTGTTTTTGCTTAAACTCTGTATATTTTAGTAGTAAAGGCTTTAAAATGTAGCTTGTATTTCCGTCTTTCTTGAGACATAAAACATACAAGTTTTTAACGTATTTGGAACATAAAACGCAATTATAACTACAGTACATATTTAATGATTATGTATTAAGCTTTATAACTTCTTTAGTGACATATACAATATAAAACTTATGTACCTACTTATCAACCACTGTAACATGTTCTAATGTATATTGAATTGTAGAAATACTAATAATATTTATTACTGATGACTAAACCACACACAGGAACATGAGGAGACGACGACTTTTTGGTCCATCCGGGACCATTAAGAAGTCGATTGTGAACAAGGGACAAAATAATGGTCCAATTTGATAATGGTCCAGGACGGACCATAGCGTCGTCGTCTCATCTTCTGGTGTGTGATTTAGTCATCATATATTCAACCACGTTATTGTGACTCATCGTCTGCAATAGTTATTATTATTATTATTATTATTATTATTATTATTATTATTACCTTTACAAATATTATCCTTAATAAATTAATCATTCAGGCTTCCCAGTCTTTATAATAGTGTCAAGGTATAAATATTATTGGCAAATGCAGGATCTATGAAATGCATTAATTACTTTAATGCATTTTAAGTCAATTACTAATTATATCACATTAAAAATCTGCACTTTACTCCAATTTATTGGCCTAGGTGAGGTGAGGTAAGGATTAACTCATTATTATTTAGTATTTTATATTTTTAAACATATTTTATAGGTGAGCGATTTCAAAATATGAATGTAACAAATATTTAATAAGTTCGGTTAGACTTGTTTTCCTGCATAGAACTCAATGGCTAGACATCAAAATTTGATTTGACATGAATTATTTAATATTTAGGCCTATAATTTCTAAAATAATTGACACCCTTATGAGTGAACTACCTTGTGTAGTAAAAATTAATGTTAATAAAAACACATGATTAATAGTTTCTACTTAGTTAAAAGTTTGTCATATATCATACTGTTAAGGTATTTATTTCTTTTTTAAAAATACATATTAAGGACACGTCAAGGACACAAACAGCATTAGAGATTGAGGAAGGATTATTCTGGGCGCCGACGGAATACGCAATCATTAGCTACTTTAACATTTAATGTTCACTAGTGTTTATTTACTTAATTGCTGCTGCCATAATATCTTGTTTTGCTAATTTTTATTTTTATTTTCATAAAATACCTGTTAATTTATAGTTACAGACACACAAGGAATTTATAATTAGCATAACAAACTTGCAGGATTTTAGTGGAGAAATAGATCGAGTTGAGGATAAAACACAACTAATGAACGTTAAGCAACTAACGTTAAGCCGAGAGGGCTCCCGTGAAATAATGTTTTTAGGAAGAAATGTGTTCATAATTAGTTTGGTGAATAATGACGGAAACTGTCAAGAAGGCGAAACGTTTCCTAAGAACTTTCATAATCGCTTCATGAATCTGGCTCTGGACGAACAGGTAACAAAAAGGTTTATCTACCTAGTCTCAGTTCCCCAATATCACCCGTACACCCGCGAGTGCGAAGGTTAAGAACAATCTGGGGACACCCAACGTTAATGAGGTCGGACTGGAAATGGTAGTTGTGCTAACCATTCGTGTTCTAATTGCAGGGATTTCCATACAACTGTGAGAATGGGTTAGGTTCGGGTTAACGCTCACAATCTATACAACCTTTCCAGATGTTGGCGGCAATGTGGTGTTGGGTGGCGAGGCTGCTGCTGGTGCTGTTGCCGATGGCTCCACCTCTGCTGCGTCCTGATGACCATCTCCTACTGCGTTACTACGCCGCCGTCATGAGAGTGGTGCGTCCAGTTCTTGTGCACGTCTTACAACTCTTAACTAAAAAGAAGAATCTCAAGCAGCTTCTCTTTGATCTTCCAGGATACTCTATGACAAAATACAAAAATGACTTCAATCGCGAACAAAGGCAGCAGCTGGACGACAATGTCTCAAGTGAGAACTATGACATAACGCTACTGTTCACTTTGCTCCAGAAGGTAGGTGGTTTGGCAGAAAAAAACAATGACAAATGGTCGACGCCGGGGACATTGGAGAACAGATTAAAACAGCTTAAAAAACATCGAAATATCTTAGCTCATGAAGAACTATCATTAACTCCTGAGAAACTGCAGAACATTCTATCCAACATTGAAGAGCTTTGCCGTGAGGTGCTTGTGTTAGCTGGCCTGAGATGCCGAAGCCTTGTGAGTGAGAATGTTAAGGTTATGGAGGAGGGTCTGAGTGAGGTACTAACAGGAGGTGTTGACCTGTGGGAACCATACAAGGAGGCACTCCACAACCTGCAACAAGAGCAGTGCAACATCTTAGTAAGGGAAGGGAAGAAAGAGATCAAGGAACTAGCTAAGAACCTTCGCATTCTTAACCCGTTTGTGTGGTTGATGGAAGATAACTTTGCTCACTTGGATGTGAGCCAAATATTTACAGATTTATATATTGAAGGTCAAGGACAGGTAGACACCAAAGATTTTTTTACCACTTCTCTTCCTACTGGACAGTATCCGGATGTTCTGATAACTCACGGATCACCTGGGATTGGGAAGACGAGTTTGATAAGATATTTTATCCATGATTGGCTCTCAGTCTCTCCTTCCATTAATGGGATTGATGAGTTTGACATAGTGTTGCCAGTAGAGTTAAGACATGTAACAAGTGAAGACACCCAAGCGTTGCTCCGTGACGAAGTCCTTCGTAACGCTTGTCGTCACCTGAAGTCCAGTGACATCATCCCGACACTGAGTGAGGTGTCTACTCTCTGGTTGCTAGATGGTTATGACGAGGCTACTGAGAAAACAAAACGGCTAGTTAAGGAAATACTAAACAAATTCCCTAATTCAAAATTCATGATTACAACTCGTATTGATTGCGTTCATGAACTTCAGATGTTAGTTAGTGATCTTCATCGTAGTCAAGGAGTGTACCAATTAAGAGGCTTGACCCCAGACAAGTGGATTTCTTATGCCAAAAAATTGTTTTCCGTGACAGTTCAAAATGATATTGATAATCGCAGGGACTCTTGCAGGAGGTTTTTACAGTTCATGAAAGAGAAAGAGAAAGATATGTGGGAGATCTTTAGTGTACCATTGTTTGTGGTTGTTCTTGTGGTGCTGTGGCTGGAGAAGCCTTCTGACGTCACCGAGGCTACCACAGTCACCAGACTCTACAACATCCTCATTAACCACATAATCAACAGGATGACCAGACGCCTCCAAATGTCAATCTTAAGTCTCAGGGAAAGCCAACTTCGAGGCAAGATAAAATGTTTTCTTAATTTACTTGGTACTATATTCTGGGAAAACTCTCAAAGGTATAAATACGTCCTTCTTGATTATCAAATTAAAGAATTAGAGAAACTGTGTGAGAAGTCTGGGCTGCCGTTCATGGAATGCATGTCACCGTTCTTCCTGGTGATAGTGAAGTCATCAATCACCGGGACACAAGAAGAGTATCACCCTCTCCACAGGACGGTGCAAGAGTTCCTCGCTGCTCGAGCATTCTGCGACGCCATGATAACCCAGGCTTCTGACGTCCTCACCATCGCTGCTCACTGGATGGTAGAGCACAGGGAAAATTTTACTAAATATTTTCATAATGAAAAAGTTCATGGAAAAGATAATAATAAGAGAAATTTTGTTATGAATACGCTCTGTGAGGGAAGCGATAATGTGTTTGATAATTATGACTTTGTGGGAGAAAGTATATTTTCTGTAAATTGCTTTTGTCCTATATATGTAACGGGGTTAAGCGTAGATTTTGATGATCCTGTTGAGAGAGAGAGACATTTTTGTCGCCAGTATTTCACATTTTGCGAAATAGGAAGCTTGATGATACCATTTATTTGTGGCATCCTCAAATTAAAAAATGAATTAACACAAAAAAGGGCAGAACAAATAATTTATGTTGTTATATGTGGTCAAGATAGGATTAGAAACTATGCTCTTTGGTTACGTCTTTTGGATGAAACTTATAGAGACTCTGTGTTCCTCAAGGAGTTAACATCCCAAATATCTCCTTATCAATGGAATCCTAAACTAACACAGCTGCCAGAGGTAGGACAACTTTTACAGTTCGTAATCCCGGAGTCGCTGCTGGTTCATCATTGTGAAATAGGTAACTGCACCGATAGTAACTTCATTGAAGGAATTCGTATACTTTCCAGATTTCCAATTAGAATCTCCCTTGATTTAAGAAATGGGATGAATATGGCTTCAAGACGTTTCTTCCCATTTACTCAACTGTGCTTGTCACTCTTGCTGGCATCAGGGGCATCATGTCGACTAATTGCTCTCGGTGGTCCCCTCAACAAGCAAAGTTTAAGTATGCTGTGTCATGCTCGACACCTTGAAGATCTGTGTGTAAGAGTCGACACTCTGGAAGATTTGCAAACATTAGCTCAAATTACAAACAATTTACAAAGCCTTACAAACCTGAGTGTCTTCATAAATTTTGTTTTCTCAAATATTAGTTACAAATTACTCCCAACATTTAGCATTAAACAACATACAGGAGCAAATCTTAGTTTTGCACAAGTTCCCAATCATCCATTCATGGGATATAGTTATTTCTTCGATGTTGAATTATATTTTAAGCCTCACAAATGCTCCCCGCCCAAGGTTACAAGCCATAAACAAATACATAGATTTGTTAATGTCCGCAGAGGAGGAAGAATGAGTTACCTGTGCAAACCTACATTACCAGCGCTTCCTTATCCCGTCCACCTTGAGGGACTGAAAACAAGTGGGATTTATGGGTTCTGTCGAACGATGTGGAACTTGCCGTCTGTACACTGCCATTCTCGATGTGGTGAACGATGCAGTGATCCAGTCCTGTGTCAAGACAAGTGCAGGCACACATCCATCAGAGCGCCACAACCAACGAAACACCAGTGGTTCCAATGCCACAGAGCAATTAGATATCATCAGTCATGCTTTAAGAGGTTAAGATCGTTTTACAACATTTTGTGGATGATAATTGTTGAAAACTTTAAGCCAGGCAAACTAACATACACAAAATCATATGATCCAATCATCAAAGTGTTCTGTTATAATATTCAGGATCAGCAATTATTGAACAATGTGTGGATTAAGTTAAATATTTTATCGCTTAAAGTGTGTGAACTTCTGATGTATGAACACAAGATTTGTATCCAACAGCATCGCAAACTTCTGACACACGTGAGAGAACCTTCAATTCCTGTCTCCTCAGTTCAACTTGCATTCATTGATCCATTCACTATAGACGCAACAACATTCAGATCTATGGTGCAGAAGCTCTGTCCAACTCCCTTTATGATTTATGCATTGAACATGTCAAGGAATTCGAGTGATACAGACGTCGCTCATCGTGTATTACATCTTTGTCAGTCATTCCCAAGTATTAAGAGTGTAGCAATTAAATATTGTATTCCTATGGATCATTCGATTCATAAAATTGGGGAAATAATTGAAAAATGTGCACCACATTTTATATATAGTATTTTTAATAACTTCTATATACAATCTTAAATAAGCGGATCCTTTTATGTGATCTACTCCCAGAATTTCATGTGTAATATATTTCATTACAATAACATAATTATGTCGACTTCACGGATGCCAGAAATTGATTAGCAGTCATCAAGCCCAACACACAAATGACAATAGAATAACGTTGCGTCGACCCATCATCAACGTTACTTTGACGTCATTTAAATGCACATACTTAACAGTCAGTGGGCAAAACATGCTCTAGTTCGTTGAATGAACTTCGTTTGTTTAACATGTGCCCAGAGTTAGACTACCCAGAAGACACGAGACATAGGCACAACGTTTTTTTGAATACATTTACGTCAATTCAAAGTTGTAAAAACGTAATAATCTAAAAAACGTTGTATTTAAGTTATGTGTTTGTTGGGTGATCTTTAAGGAGCGTAGTATTGTCACTACAACAGGCAGCCGATCCATATATTGTCTTCGCAGTAAAGATCTAAATTGATATTTAAACCTTCATGAAGAAAGACGACAGAGGAAACGAAAGAGGGATGAAGAAAACGTGTGTGTGGTAAAAAAATGAAAGAAATACCTTAGAAAACGGAGCGTAGAAGAAGTAAAGAAGAGGAAGAAGAAAAAGAGAGAAATATTTACACCTTCCCGTTAACTTTCCCCTCTGGTCCTCCCGAGGATATAGGAGCCATTGTGACCTGAAATGTCTACAACAGGGAAAACCTTACCCAGTAACTGCTATCTAAAGTTAGTTGGCAATTATTTTAAGTCTGGAGAGAATTTACAATACTGCAAGGAACCACTGACCAAGTTTCCTCTCCTGCAGTGGGTTTGTTTACAAATATATTTTTATACAAATACACGTGTTTAAAGATTTATATATATATTTGGTTAAAAAAAATACTTATTATATATTTATAATTTTAAGGTAAAACTTTAAATTTGATCTGATTGTATTGGTTCCAAAATAATATGCTTCCAAGCTTTATTTAACTTTATTATTCATTTATATGAGAACAGCTTGAGAAATCATCTAGGGATTAATCGGGTTTACAGCTGACCCATCTTGCCGATCGATATTCGTACTGTGCTTTAGCTTAAATGTACAAATAGGAAGTAGAAAGGCCGCCTCCCTGCTGGGAAAGATCAAGTTAATTCTGTACCGATTTAAAATTGTGTTTGCTTTTGTTTTTAACTTATTATTAAATGAATTCGCTTTCTTTTCTTTTATACCATGAATACAGTATGCTAATTTGTCAGCATTCATTAACTATCACATTGAGTTTGATTATTGATTTATATATTCAATTTAAGTCATGTAACGTGTTGCAGGCTGTAGTGTTGACAACAATGTATTATAATTATTGAGGGTTTGTTAAGAGAATAATTGATTCAAATTAAGTAGGTGAAAACTAGAATGTGTTTGAACCGTTTTTCTTTATCTTGTATATTGTAATAAACTCTTTATGCCTACCTTTGCCATTTTTCCTCCATGTGAAGATAAAATTAAAAAAAAATTATACTTATATAAGCGTATAATTATACTTATAGTAAGGGAGGCGAAGTTCAGCTTGTTTGGGGCGCCAGCACCCATAGAGCTGGCCCCAATTTATTCATATGGGACCTCATACCCATCCTGTAAGTTGAAGTGGACCCCATACCCATCATGTGAGTTGTAGTGGACCCCATACCCATCATGTGAGTTGTAGTGGACCCCATACCCATCATGTGAGTTGTATTGGAACCCATACCCGTCATGTGAGTTGTAGTGGACCCCATACCCACCCTGTGAAATATAATGGACCCCATACCCATTCTGTGAGTTGTAGTGGACCCCATACCCATCCTGTAAGTTGTAGTGGACCCCCATACCCATCATGTGAGTTGTAGTGGACCCCATACCCATCATGTGAGTTGTATGGACCCCATACCCATCATGTGAGTTGTAGTGGACCCCATACCTATCATGTGAGTTGTAGTGGACCCCATACCCATCATGTGAGTTGTATTGGACCCCATACCCGTCATGTGAGTTGTAGTGGACCCCATACCCATCCTGTGAAATATAATGGACCCCATACCCATCCTGTGAGTTATAGTAGACCCCATACCCATCGTGTGAATTAAAGTAGACCCCATAACCATCGTAAGAATGTTAGTGGACCCATGGGCATCCTGCGAGTAGTAACAGACACAAACCCATTCTGTAGGTGGATCTGGAAAGGGTTATCAAGGTACATAATGGGCTTGGGAACATTTAGCTAAGGAAGTTAGTGTTGATAAACTAGTTACACAGTGTAAGGTAAATAACAATAATGGGTTTAAGAACTGGGCCACGATAGCCTCCAAGCTAAGAATTTAATATTTATGCTGATACAGACCTGGACTAGGTATAATAAAGCATTTAAACAACTAATTACGAAACCTGTACATCTTTCCTTAATCATGACAGTTTTTTCTACACTTATTAAATAGTTTACGAGCTTAGAAACTTCACAACCCAAGGTTATTATTGTTATAAACAACCACGTAGTGCTGCGGGGCTCACAAACCGTTCAACAGATGTAAACAAAGCCGCCATGATTAAGGAAAGATGTACTGGTTGTGTAAATGTTTAATGACTCCCGGTCCTGACCACATGAAGCTGGACGGTACCTCCTCTGGGCTGTGTTTGCTACTGTTGATCTGTACAGGTAAGTGTGTTTCAGCAGCTTGGCAGACTCTGCCTCCCGTTGGCTGTGTATATTTCGGAATGCAGAAAAACGTCACAATAACGTGGGTGTAACAAATACCCTCTTCCCCCCCCCCTCTCGGTCTGACCTGCATGAAGCGAGACCGTCGCTCTACTGTCCATCCCAAGTGGTTGGGCACCATTCCTTTCCCCAAAGTCCTATCCCAAATCCTTATCCTGACCCCTTCCCAGTGGAGGTTGTAATAGCTTGGGGCTGTCCCCCTGATATTTCCCTTCCCTTCCCACTCACGTTCCCTCCCTCCCCCCCAGACATACGAGCAGGCGACGTTGACGTAACATTGATTTAATGCTGATTCTACGTTCATTTAACGTTAATTTAGCGAGGATCATAGGGTGATTCAGCATTGATCCTACAATAGTGTAGTGTTGATCCTGTGTTCATTTACACTTGTTCACTTGTATACTCTGGATACTCCTCTTGTTCACTCACCAGAGGAGTGTGAGTCAGTGAGTGTGAACAATTGGATCCTGCGTTGATTAGCGTCTATTCCATGCTGGTGAATCTTCGTTGATTTAGTGTTGATTCTATGTTGATTTAGCATTGACACTACGGTGATTTAATGTTGATTCCACTGTCGGTTGGGACTTACGTCCAGGACAGATCAACACCACAAGTGTCCAGGACAGATCAACACCACAAGTGTCCAGGACAGATCAACACTACAAGTGTCCAGGACAGATCAACACCACAAGTGTCCAGGACAGATCAACACTACAAGTGTCCAGGACAGATCAGCACCACAAGTGTCCAGGACAGATCAACACCACAAGTGTCCAGAACAGACCAACACCACAAGTGTCCAGGACAGATCAACACTACAAGTGTCCAGGACAGATCAACACTACAAGTGTCCAGGACAGATCAACACTACAAGTGTCCAGGACAGATCAACACCACAAGTGTCCAGGACAGATCAACACCACAAGTGTCCAGGACAGATCAACACCACAAGTGTCCAGGACAGATCAGCACCACAAGTGTCCAGAACAGACCAACACCACAAGTGTCCAGGACAGATCAGCACCACAAGTGTCCAGAACAGACCAACACCACAAGTGTCCAGGACAGATCAACACCACAAGTGTCCAGGACAGATCAACACTATAAGTGTCCAGGACAGATCAACACCACAAGTGTCCAGGACAGATCAGCACCACAAGTGTCCAGAACAGACCAACACCACAAGTGTCCAGGACAGATCAACACCACAAGTGTCCAGGACAGATCAACACCACAAGTGTCCAGGACAGACCAACACCACAAGTGTCCAGGACAGATCAACACCACAAGTGTCCAGGACAGATCAACACCACAAGTGTCCAGGACAGACCAACACCACAAGTGTCCAGGACAGATCAACACCACAAGTGTCCAGGACAGACCAACACCACAAGTGTCCAGGACAGATCAACACCACAAGTGTCCAGGACAGATCAGCACCACAAGTGTCCAGGACAGACCAACACCACAAGTGTCCAGGACAGATCAACACCACAAGTGTCCAGGACAGATCAACACCACAAGTGTCCAGGACAGATCAGCACCACAAGTGTCCAGGACAGACCAACACCACAAGTGTCCAGGACAGATCAACACCACAAGTGTCCAGGACAGATCAACACCACAAGTGTCCAGGACAGATCAACACCACAAGTGTCCAGGACAGATCAGCACCACAAGTGTCCAGGACAGACCAACACCACAAGTGTCCAGAACGGACATATGGGGGATTGAGTTATTTGTTTCATCTTATTACGTAATATTTTATCCCCCGATTAATATCAAACAAACTATTAACTCCTTATTAATTAATTATCACTGAATTTAAATTATAATTGGTATTAAATAGAAATAATAATTGTTATTGAATCGACTTGTTATTGGATATCTTTCACGTTGAAATTAATTGCAACTGAATTGGTATTCAAATTAACTTTGTAGTTTCTATTGCATGTAGATTGGAATGTAAATTGAACAACACAATTAAGACTGCATTCGACCTTAATTTATATTATATAAACTGGGGGGCATAGATGCATTGTACTCTTCAAAAGCCTTATTAGTGACCCATTTCCGTATTTGGGTTTGCCTATTCTACTAGCTTACCCTATTGGTTATAGTCCTTTGTTAGTTATAGTGAACCCCTTGCAGTTCACAGACAGGCTAATTAAGACCGAGGGCTTATGAGACTTTGAGGAACTTAATCCTCTCGGGCAACAAAGACTAAGATTCAGATTAGGCTCCATTAAATTGTTGTTTCTGGCAAATGGTGAGAAATTTGTTGACACTAAAAAGTTTTATAATTCTATGTACATATTTATTTCTTTATTTGTTAATTTATTGAAAACCATTGTTACGGATATCTTACGAGCCCAGGATATCTATGGATATCTTTCGGCTTTTGATATCTTATGGCTCTGGATAGCTAATGACTTTGAATAACTTTCGGCCCTGGATGTCTTACGATCACGAATGCTTCTTTACAGCTTTGGATATATTATTGCCTGGATATCTTATGAAGCTGAATATCATACATCACTGGAAATCTTGCGGTCTTGGACATGTTACAGTACTGGATATCTTTATCGCCTTGGAAACCACATCAGACTGGATATCTTACGGCATATTGGACTTATAGGCCTGGATATTTTACATCACCGGAAATCTTTCGGAACTAGAAATCTTACGTAACTAGATATCTTATGGTTCTGGATGTCTTATGGCCCTAGATATCTTAAGGTTTTGGATATCTTGCGGATCTGGATAACATCCTGATCAGAACATCTTGTGGCACTGGATAACGTAAAGCCCTTGATATCTTACTGCTCTAGATAGCTTGCGTCCTTGGATATCTTGAGGGTCTGGATATCTTACGGGTTTTGGATATCGTACAGATCTGAATATTTTAATGCCCAGGATATCTAACGTCACTAGATATCTTATTGCCATGAATATCTTATACCCTAAATATTTTATAGATATTTTATGGCAGTGGATATCTTGCTGCCCTGGATATTTTCATGACCCTGGATGCCTACTGGCCTGGGTATCTTATACGGATATGGATATCAGTCCTCGTTATTTATAACGGTTTTGGATATCTTAAGGCCTTGGATATCTTACACGCCACTGGCTATTTAACGACCCTGGTCATCTTTCGACGCTGGATATCTTCCTCCATTGGATATCTTACTTCTCTCAAAATCATACGATAATGGATATCTTATGGCACAGGGTATTACAGCCGTGGATATCATATGATGTGACATATTTTACAGCTTTGGATATCATATGGATCTGAATATCTTACGGTCCTAGATATCTAACAGGCCTTGATATCTTACATCACTGGACATCGTACGGCGCTGGATATCTTATGGCTTAATGTGGTGGTGGGTGACTAGAGTGGTGGTGGTGACCAGAGTGGTGGTGGGTGACCAGAGTGGTGGTGGTGGGTGACCAGAGTGGTGGTGGGTGACCAGAGTGGTGGTGGTGACCAGAGTTGTGGTGGGTGACCAGAGTGGTGGTGGGTGACCAGAGTGGTGGTGGTGACCAGAGTGGTGCTGAGTGACCAGAGTGGTGGTGGGTGACCAGAGTGGTGGTGGTGGGTGACCAGAGTGGTGGTGACCAGAGTGGTAGTTGGTGACCAGAGTGGTGGTGGGTGACCAGAGTGGTGGTGGTGACCAGAGTGGTGCTGAGTGACCAGAGTGGTGGTGGGTGACCAGAGTGGTGGTGGGTGACCAGAGTGGTGGTGGGTGACCAGAGTGGTGGTGGTCGGTGACCAGAGTGGTGGTGGGTGACCAGAGTGGTGGTGACCAGAGTGGTAGTTGGTGACCAGAGTGGTGGTGGGTGACCAGAGTGGTGGTGGTGACCAGAGTGGTGGTGGGTGACCAGAGTGGTGGTGGGTGCCCAGAGTGGTGGTGGGTGACCAGAGTGGTGGTGGTGACCAGAGTGGTGGTGGGTGACCAGAGTGGTGGTGGGTGACCAGAGTGGTGGTGGTGGTGGTGACCAGAGTGGTGGTGGGTGACCAGAGTGGTGGTGGTGGTGACCAGAGTGGTGGTTGTGGTGACCAGAGTGGTGGTCGGTGACCAGAGTGGTGGTGGGTGACCAGAGTGGTGGTCGGTGACCAGAGTGGTGGTGGTGACCAGAGTGGTGGTGGTGACCAGAGTGGTGGTGGGTGACCAGAGTGGTGGTGACCAGAGTGGTGGTGGGTGACCAGAGTGGTGGTGGGTGACCAGAGTGGTGGTGGGTGACCAGAGTGATGGTGAGTGAGGATCTTGCAAGGTAAGCATTATAGAATGAATTGTCTGAAAGAAGATATGTTATTTCTTATGCTTTATATATCGTTATTTGGAGCAGTTTTGCAAACGCTCCGTTGCTTGGGATATAGCGAAGCGGGGTATACACTGGGATTATATATATCCCTAGGGATCATAAAATGTATAAATATAAACAACAGTTAACTGTTTAACCAGATACGTTTGGTAAACGGTAGTATAAAAATCTAAGTATAAATCAAACCGGGCGCCATACCTCCGCTACAGGGACGCCATCTGGGTGGGAGAGGGCGGACTGGCCAGTCACACCAAGACATCAACAAGGGCACGCCATTGGTGTACCCGCTACGTTAACGGCTGCTGTTTTACATTCCCATGGACCTTTGTGTGGTTTAATAAGTCTATACATACTATAAAAACACCGCTATAAAGTGATATAAGTGTGTGCAAGGTTATATTAACACTGCGTGATGTACCATGAGGGTCACACAGTCAACAACACACCATCACAGCAAGCACACACCGCACGCTGAGCACTACTCAGCCGTTTAATACCAGTGGACCTTTGTATTGGTGGTATAGACTAAAGCATAAAGGGGAAAAAATACTATTCTACACATAATTTATATCATTAAATGAGTGTCTAAAACTTTAAAAGTGATATAAGATAATAAAGAGAAATGTGAGGTACTGGCACACCGCCGCCACACTAGCAGATATACCAGCCACACCCGACGCCATGCTCAAGGAACCAGACTCCATTGTACCAAAACAACACCACTTCATCAGTTAATCATTACACACAGCGACCTACACTTGGGTTGCCATGTGGCTCGCTTGGAGGTCTTTCGGCAGGTTCACTTTTGGCAGGTTCACAAGACTTGTGTCTTGACCTATGCAGGATCTTGCAAGGTTAGCATTATAGAATGAATTGTTTGAAAGAAGATATATGTTATTTCTTGTGTTATATATATTATTATTTGGAGCAGTTTTGCAAACGCTTTGTTTGCTTGGGATATAGAGAAGCGGAGTATACCCTGGTGGTATATCCCTGGTGAGTATGGCTTGCCTCTTGGTGTGTATCCCTTGTAAACCTCTTGGTGTATATATCCCTTTGTGAGCATGGTGTACCTGTCAGTATGTATATTCCTGATGAGTATGGTGTACTTTTTTGTGTATATATATATATATATATATATCCCTGCAGAACATTTTGTAAATAAATGACCCTGGGAAGCATGGAGTAAATAACCACATGGAACACTTTGTAAATATTCCCGGGTAGCATTGTGTATATTTATCTGTGCAAAGCATTTTTCAAATATTTCTTGGAAGCATGGTGTATATATCCCTGGGAAGCATTTTGCAAATATCCAAGTGGAGCATGGTGTATTTGTTGCAGGTGTAAACACACTTGCAACAGGATTAGGAATTGCAACCGAATTCAATAGCTTCTTTTCATCAATTGGTGCTAACCTTGCCAGAAAAAATCCCAGAGACCCAGACACATGTTACGACATGTCTCAACGGCAGCTATCCTAACTCTGAACTGTTCTTACCAGTCAGCCCAACAGACATTATATATATAATTCAATCACTTAAAATCAAAGATGGGAGCATTAGTGAAAATACCATCTATGATATATAAGAGTGCTGCCCATACTCTTGCACCTCCCACAGCTCTGCTATTCAACAAATCTCTAGTGTCATAATTTTCCTGATATCGTTGAAAAGGCAAGAGTGACGCCAGTTCATAAAGGAGGCGAGACAGCTGACATAAATAATTACAGACCAATATCAAATCTACTTATTTTTTCAAAAAATATTTGAAACAAATATTTACAAACAGCTCTATTCCTACTTTGTAAAACTTAACATATTAAGTCCGTGCCAGCTTGGCTTCCATTCCCAAAACAGTACCAGTGATGCCACTATTAGTCTGCTTAATATAATCTACACAGCACTTGACAAAAACGAGTTCTCAATTGGCCTTTTCATTGACCTGAGAAGGGCCTTTGATAATGTAAACTGTACCTACTTCTTACTTTGATATTGCCTCTTTACAGCCCTTGATACTGTAAACAATAATCATCTCTTACTTAGACTTCACCACTGTGGTATCAGAGGCCTTGCTCTGAACTATATTCGTTCATATCTCAGTAACAGACACCAATACGTAGTAATCAATAACATAATGGTATAGTTGGGGAGGTTAACAGTAGGAGTGCCACAGAGCAGCATATTAGGACCTCTCCTATTTCTTATATACATCAATGATTTGCCAAAGTTTCTAACATTCTTAAACCTATAGTATTTGCTGACACTAATACTTTCATCTACTCTGACCCCAACCCCTTCCCCTACACACTAAATAATATTGTCAATAATGAATTTTTAAAAGTCCACTCATGGATGTCACTCAACAAATTCACACTAAACATACATATGATCTACTACATTTTATCTGGTAGTAAATCATCAAATCAAATTCAACTTCAAATAGACAATGTTAACATTTGCAATAAAATTGAGGGAAAGTTCCTTGGTCTATACGTAGACAAGAGACTGAACTTCAGAACCCACATATAATACAAAGCCAAAAAAAGTCTTAAAAACATTCGGTATACTTTCTAAAATTCGATACTGTATTATGTTCTCCACTCTGCTCTCCTCTCATTATGCTATGCGCTAATCTTTCCAATTCTTACATATGGTATCTGTGCATGGGGTTCAATCACTGCAAATTATCTCAAGCCCATCATCACTCTGCAAAAATCTGCTATCAGAACAATAACAAACTCTGTCTTCAGGCAATACACTGCTCCTCTGTTTAAGTCCCTTAATATGCTAAACATATACTCACTCCCCACATTCTCATGTGCTATTTACATGACAAAACCTTATTCCTACCTTGAGGTTACCTTGAGGTGCTTCCGGGGCTTAGCGTCCCCGCGGCCCGGTCGTCGACCAGGCCTCCTGGTTGCCGGACTGATCAACCAGGCTGTTGGACGAGGCTGCTCGCAGCCTGACGTATTAGTCACAGCCTGGTTGATCAGGTATCCTTTGGATACCTGATCCTAAATGAAAATCTTGATCTGAAACTTTTCCTTGATAGGTGTAAGAGAAACCATGAGCACCACACCATAAATAATTTTTTGATATACCCAGAGTCAAACTAAATCTGAACACTCCATGCAAATAAAAGGACCCAGTATTTGGAGCTCACTCCCTGCTGAATTCAAAAAATTCCAACCTATACGCTATTCGGAAGTAAAACCAAAAATTAACTCATTTCATCCTTATAGTTTCCTACCTTGTGCTCCAAACTCACACTGTATCTTGTACTGTCCACTTCCTCAATATTAGTACTTAAGACGTATGATCTATCGAGGGACAAGTGACCACGAGGGACGGTTGGGAAGCAAGACACATGTGCATCCTGGAAGTCAGGACATTCAACAAGGATTCTTCTTGATGTTATCTTGAGATGATTTTGGGGCTTAGCTTCCCCGCGGCCCGGTTATCGACCAGGTCTCCTTTTTGTTACACCCCCTCCCCCATGAAGCAGCCCGTTGCAGCTGTCTAACTCCCAGGTACCTGTTTACTGCTAGGCAAAGGGGGCACCAGGGTGAAAGAAATATTTTGCCCATTGGTCTCTGCCTCCACCGGGGATCGAACCCGGAACCTCAGGACTATGAATCCGAAGCGCTGTTCACCCAGCTGTCAGACGCCCTGCCAAAATATGCAGGAGATGTCAGGATATAAACGACCATAAGAGGGACAATGCAGCTTGGACAATAAGGAGCAGTGTGGTGCTCCATTAAGTGCTCATGAGTTAAGCGTGTATGGCCAAGATGCAACCTCACCAGAGCCGTTTCCCACTGCCGGTTATGGCGATAGGAGGAAGGCCATGGGGACACATTACTCTTAAGAGCACGCAATTTGTTACTAGTAACAGAAGACCAACAACCCTACCAACGGGCAAGGATGGAGGAATGAATTGTAAAAGTAAAAGTTGGAGTAAGGAATACCTTTATGGGAGATAGGACAAGTGCAGATAGCTTCCTTAGTGGCAGCGTCCGCACACTCATTTAAAGACACACCGATATGGCTGGGAACCCAGCAAAACTCCATTGTCTTAAATCTACTGTAGATAAAAAACAGCCAATGTTGAATCTCTACTACCACCAGATGGACTGGATTAAAGGACTCCAGAGCCATGAGGGCACTGCAAGAGTCAACTACAAAAAAAAGGAGGATTGACAGTGATAAAAAACCAGGTGACGAAGAGCATAGAGAACAGCATAATGTTCTGCTATGAAGAAGCTAGTCTCCAGAGGCAGGCGACACATAGGTGTGGTCAGGAAAAAGAACAATACCCTACATCGTCTGCAGAATTAGACCCATCGGTGAAGACGGAAATGGAGCAGGAGTATGAAGAAGAGTGTTCAAGGTGAAAAGGTGTATCAGAACTGTAGGAGGGGTAAAAGCTTTAGTCACATGGGTCAGGGTTTTACAAAATTTAGGAAGGGGGATCCTCCACGGGGGCAAGGACGGAACAACGCAAGGAGAAATATTGGTAACGCTAACGGAAAGATAATTTTGTAGGTGAGACAACTGGACAAAAAGAGGAAGGTGGTAAAGGGGAACAGGGACCACAGGAGGGGTAAAAGTCAAAGCACGACATAGCCGAGAGTGAAGGGTGTTGTAAGGACCGTGCAAGGTAGCGAAAACAGTAGCAATCATGGCGGTCCTGGAGAAACAGGACACTGGTTTCAACATACAGGCTGAGGGCAGGAGTCGAATGAAAAGCACCAAAGCTGAGGAATAACCCATTATGGTGCAGAGGATGAAGACGGCGAAGAGTGGAAGGAGAAGCAGACGAGTAAGCAAGGCAACCATAATCGAGTTTATACAGTACGAGAGAAGGAATAAAAAGAGAGGATCGCATGCCTATCCGCTCCCCAAGAAGTATGGGACATGACTCTAAGGAGGTTATGGGCCTTAGAGCATTCAACTCGAAGGTAAGAGACATGGGGGTGACCAAGACAAACGAGTGTCAAAGATTAACCCCAAAAGCTTAACAGTATCTTTGAACACAAGGGGATGACCATAAAGTGACAAAGAGAAACGGAGAACGACCTGCTTCTGAGTAAAAGTCATGACACGGGTCTTAGTTGCAGAGAACTTGAAGCCATGATTGGTGGCCTAGGACGACATGGTATCAATCACAAGTTGAAGCCGTTGTTGAAGGAAAGGCGAGCCATCACTCCGACAGCAAAGGGTAAGCATCGACATGGAGCACTGACAAGATGCCAGTGGGAAGGGAGGAAAAAAGACTATTGAGGGCAACAAGGAAAAGAGTAGTGCTCAGAACAGTACCTTGGGGTACAACTTCGTATTGCCAAAAAGAGGCAGAGAGAGCAGTACTAAGCCTCACTCTAAAGGAACGAATAGGGAGGAATTTTTGTAGGAAGAGAGGGAGATTACCAAGAAGGCCAAAAGAATGGAGTTGGGACAAAATGTGGTATCTCCAGGTGGTGTCGTATACCATTTCCAGGTCAAAAAGGAGAGCAACAGAGGAGGTCTTCGCAGCAAAAGCAGTACGAATATAGACCTCCAAGTTCACCAAGACATCAGTTGTGCTGCAGCGCTTGCAAAAGCCAATTTGAGAGGGAAAGAGGTGATGATAGTGTTCCAAGAACCACATCAGACAGACATGGACCATACGCACAAAGAGTTTGCAAATGCAACTCGTGAGAGCAATGGAGCGGAAGTCCTTAGTGAATGTTCCTAGAGATACTGGTTTCCAAATAGGAAGAACCACCGCCTGGAGCCAGTTCTCGGGGACTGATGATGACTCCCAAATAAGGTTATACAGATTTAGTAAATACCGAGACGCACATGGATGGAGATGGCAAAGCATCTCATAATGAATATCATCCGAGCACGGTTCTGTAGACCCCCACAGGGCCTGGGCAGACTGAAGTTCGGAGAGAGAGAAGGGAACATTATAGGGAAGTTGGAGATGAATGTGAAAGGGGATGAAATGTCTACGGGAGATGATTCAAGAACTGGTTTATGATTCAGGAAAGACAGAGGAAGATGAGAACCGGAGCTAACAGTTGAAAAATGGAAACCTATTTTATTGGCGACTGCCACTGGATCCACCACAATAGTAGTATGGAGATGAATAACTGGCGAGACATCTGGAACAAACTTACCCACTATCTTGCGGATTTTCTTCCAGATTTGTGGAAATGAGTATCAGGCGTAATCGTGGAGACATAAGATTTCCAACTCCCACATTTACCTGTACGGATGGTCCTACGGGCCACCGCACTCGCCTTCCGAAATAAAATAAAAGTAGCGGCTGTCTGCCGGCGTCGATGTTTCTTCCAGGCTGCCTGCTCACGGCGGATAGCCTGAGCACAGTCTGCATTCCACCAGGAAACGCACTTCCACATGCCCTGGGAGGTAGAGTCAGGAAAAGAGTCGAGGGCAGCGCCGAATATGGTGACATGAAAAAATTGGAGGGCTCGAGGGAGAGGTCGGAGAAAGTAGCATGTAGGGTGAATAAGTTCCAGTCAGCCTTGGCAAACTGCCACCTAGGGAAAGAGAGGGGAGGATGAAAAGAAAAAAAGGTGACAAGGAAGGGGAAATGGTCACTGTTATGGAGGTCATCAAGAACCCCCCAGTGATATCTAAGTAAAGAGACAACGAGCAGGAAGATCAAGACAGGAGAGAGTGTGAGTGCAGGAGTCCACATGAGTGGGTTTACCAGAATTTAGAAGAGACAGGGATGAAGAGAGGACAAACGGTTCCAGAAGGCGGCCCGGAGTGTTTGTCAGTGCATCACCCCAGAGGGTATGCAGGCAGTTAAAATCACCCAATAGGAGCACAGGCTCTGATAAGGAGTCCAATAGGTGCCTAAGATCAGGAAGAGAAAGTGGGACGTTTTTGGGGAGATAAATGGAACAGATCGTATACCATTTACTCACGAAGATACAGGCTGCAGAACATTGAAGAGGTTACTGAAAAGTAGGGGGATGAAAGGAATATCAGTACGAATCAAGAGATCAATAGAGCTACAGGTCCCAGCAGAAGCTTGGGGGAGGGGGGGGGAGGAGAAAAATGAATAACTACGTTAGTGACCTGGACGAGCGACAAACATCGGATCCTGGAGACATACACATAGCGGTGAAAACAGCGTTATCAGAAGTTGAAGTTCGTGGAAGTTGGCAGAAAATCTACGAATATTCCATTGAAGAATAGACATTGTCAAAAGGATAGAGAACAGCAACAGAGAACAATGAAGAAACAAAGGCAAAGAAGAACACAGCCTACTGAAGAAAATCAGGATCAGGACCAGGTTCAGTAAAATCAGGGTTAGGAGGAGGCATGGGTAAATCGAGCAAGAACGATGGAGTTAAGGGAGTGGAAGGATGGACCAGAGGCAGGCGGACAGGGTCTAGAGCGGGGCAAGGCAATGGATAGGGGCAGTCAAGGGATGCAGGGGGAGGGGGGGCACAAACAGGGGAGTGCACCTTAGCAAGAGCAGCAACCAAGAGAGAATAGAGGGCTAAAGGAACTCCCAAAGCTGGGACAGGGGGCTTTACCACCGAAATGGGAGGGGATGCAGTGATAGTGTCGGAGTCAGAGGGTGGGGAAGAAAGCGACGTCTTCTTACCAGCCGGGGAGGAAGGTGGAGAGGAGCCAGGGTTATGTTTCTGACTTAAAGAGACAGGGGTGCCAGCAGCAACGTACTGGGCGACAGTCTCCATAGTCTCAACAGGAGAAGAAGAATGGGAGCGATCAACATGAATATTGCCTAGAGGATGGACAACAGCCTGGACAGACAGGTGGCATGGAGAGCTGGGAAGAAGGATGGGAAAGACACAAGAGACATAGCAGACTGGGAAGGAAGGAGGGAAACACTAGATGGAGAACCAGGAAGGAGACTCCTTGTTTCAGAACATAAAGGAGCAGGGGAGGAGTCGGTGGGCATTTCTGGGTCCAAGGCCTGGAAACGGTTGTGAGACTGAGAAAGGAGGGAAGGGCGAGGTGAGGTAGACTATATAACACGAAAATAAGATATGTTAGCAAAAGGGGAGAGAGATGGCGGACTTGGCGGCTCTCCTCAGGAAAAGATAAATGGTAGTGGTGTTATAAATTAAGGATGGCTTCCTCCAATTTGTAGTGTATACACGCGCGGGAGAATGTGGGGTAGGCGTCACCGCAATTGAGGCAGTGGGCCTGGGAAGAAGAACACTCTGAGTAATCCGAGTCCCCACACATGGGGCAAGAGACACTGCACTTGTTCGTTTGAGGGCATCATGCCCAAATTTCCACCACTTACTGCAAAATCTAGGAGAGGGAATGTACTCTTGAATGGAGCATCGAGCTCCAGCAAGAATTATAGAAGGCGGAAGGGTCCTACTATCAAAAGTAAACTTCACAACGTGAAGAGGCTGATGACAACGACCACGAGGGGAGTCGAGTGAACGTATCAACCTGGAGGACAGAATGGCCTTGGGCTTCAAAGATCTGTTAAATATCCGCGTGGCAGTCTTTCAGGTCCCTGACACCAGTCGCAACATGGTGCGGGAGTCTCCCCAATGCTGAACAATGCAGCTAAGCGGGCAGCTGCATCCTAAGAAGGAGCAGCAACGACACATGTACCAAAACGTGTAGGGATAAAAGTAACAGAGGCATCAATGAGGTGTTAATTGAGGATGAAATCATCATGATGTGTAGAGTTCAGATGGTTGAGATCAAAGTATTTAGTCCATGTAGCAGGAATGTAACAAGGTGTTGAACGTATTAGCACTGGAAGTAATCGTGTGAGGCCATTGGTGGGGAAGTGGGTGCCGAGTACCCCCAGTGAAAGGGAGGGTAAAAGGAGCAGTTGTCAATGAAAGAAGTAACCGCTCCAGGTGATGAGGTGGTCACCACTGGGGGCTTGGGGCTGAACCCTACCACAAAGGAGGGAGGGGGAGTGAAGGGGGGGGGGGGTTAGTTGGGAGGGTCAAAGGAGTAGCTTGGACTGGGCCCAATGTAGTGGGAGCTACAGAGCTCGGTCTTCCAACACAGTCCGACTCGGGGGCTTGGTTTTTCAATACCATGATCTTGGGAAGTTATAAGAGGATCATTCATTGACATAGAAATGAGGAGGTAATAATTTAATTCACGAATGAGCCCCCATACCCACCATGGAGCCACAATTAGAGGATAGGACACCCAAGAAGAGACAAGCCAGGGGGCCTCCCTAGGAGTACATCGTGAGAATACGCCCTGCAATCGCCACCTTAAGAACCTCCAGTCCATCGAGATCGGGTTTAGCAACAAAAGGAGGATTGACAATAAAAGCGTCCCCTTGCTCACAACGTCGGGTAAACCAGTCCTACGGGTGAGAGAGTGTGCCTCCCCAAACACCCAGGCGTCAAAACAAAAGATGTCCGAAAGAATAATCAAGACTAGCAAAAGATCGGCGGGAAAAACAATGAGAAAGGAGAAGAGGGGGAGGAAAAATGAAACATAAGGAAGAGAAAATAGTGACCAGCATAATTAGTGAAGACGACAGCAGGAGTATAAGGCTTCAAAAGGATAGAGAACCGTCCTATGGAGCATCACATCCCGGTAGCTGTCTACCAAGCCCCCTCACAACAAAGGGCTGGAAAGGGAGGGGAAATGCATATTAAAGAAACATCAGGGACTTTATAATCAGCCGTACAGACTGATGGAGGATCATTCTGGGTGCTGAGGGAATACGTAATAATTAGCTACTGAACATTTAATATTCACCGGTGTTTATTTACTTAATTACTGCTGCCATAATATTTAGCTATGCTAATTTTTAAGTCTTTTCATAAAATACATATTCATTAATAGTTAGACACACAAAAGATTTAGAATGAGCTTGACAAACTTGCAGGATTTAAATGGAGAAAATAGATTGTGTAGTGCAGAAAAAAGGACTTATGTACTGTTTGCCTTATGCTGGGAGTGCTCTCGAGATGTGGCACAAAGTAATGTTTTTAAGAAGAATTGTGTTCATGAATGGTTTGTTAAATCGCGACGTAACTGCCAAGAAGGCGGTAAGAAAGAACCGTTTGCAAAGAACTTTCATAATTGCTTCATGAATCTGACTCTGGACTAACAGATAACAAATAGGTTTCTCTACCTAGTTTCAGTTTCCCTATATTACCAGTATGCCCCGAGTGCGAAGGGTGAGAGCAATCTGGGGACACCCTCCATTAATAAGGTCGGGCTGGAATTGGTAGTTGTGCTGACCATTCGTGTTCTAATTGAACGGATTTCCGTACAACTGTGGGAATGGGTTAAACTCTGGTAATTCACACTCTCACAATCTATACAACCTTTCCAGATGTTGGCGGCAATGTGGTGTTGGGCGGCGAGGCTGCTGCTGGTGCTGTTGCCGATGGCTCCACCTCTGCTGCGTCCTGATGACCATCTCATACTGCGTTACTACGCCGCCGTCATGAGAGTGGTGCGTCCAGTCTTTGTGCACGTCTTACAACTCTTAACTAAGAAGAAGAATCTCAAGCAGGTCCTCTTTGATCTTCCAGGATACTCGAAGAAAAAATACAAAGCAGACTTCGAGCGTAAACAGAGGCAGCAGCTGGACGACAATGTCTCAAGTGAGAACTATGACATAACGCTACTATTCACTTTGCTCCAGAAGGTAGGTGGTTTGGCAGAAGAAAACGATACCAAATGGTCGACGCAGGGAACATTGGAGAACAGCTTAAAAAAACTTAAAAATCATCGAAATATCTTAGCTCATGAAGAATTATCATTAACGCCTGAGGAACTGCAGAACATTTTCTCCGACATTGAAGAGCTTTGCCGTGAGGTGCTTGTGTTAGCTGGCCTCAGATGCCGAAGCCTTGTGATTGAGAATGTTAAGGTTATGGAGGAGGGTCTGAGTGAGGTACTAACAGGAGGTGTTGACCTGTGGGAACCATACAAGGAGGCACTCCACAACCTGCAACAAGAGCAGTGCAACATCTTAGTAAGGGAAGGGAAGAAAGAGATCAAGGAGCTAGCTAAGAACCTTCGCATTCTTAACCCGTTTGTGTGGTTGATGGAAGATAACTTTGCTCACTTGGATGTGAACCAAATATTTACAGATTTAGATATTGAAGGTCAAGGGCAGGTAGACACCAAAGATTTTTTTAGCAATCCTCTTCCTACTGGGAAGTATCCAGATGTTCTGATAACTCACGGGTCACCTGGGATTGGGAAGACGAGTTTGACAAGATATTTTATCCATGATTGGCTTTCAGTTTCTTCTTCCATTAATGGGATTGATGAGTTTGACATAGTGTTGCCAGTAGAGTTAAGACATGTAACAAGTAAAGATGCCCAAGCGTTGCTCTGTGACGAAGTCCTTCGTAACGCTTGTCATCACCTGAAGTCCAGTGACATCATCCCGACACTGAGGGAGGTGTCTACTCTCTGGTTGCTGGATGGTTATGACGAGGCTACTAAGAAAACAAAAGGGCTAGTTAAGGAAATACTAAAGAAATTCCCTAATTCAAAATTCATGATTACCACTCGTACCGATTGTGTTAATGAACTTCAGATGTTAGTTAGTGATCTTCATCGTAGTCAAGGAGTGTACCAATTAAGAGGCTTGACTCCAGACAAGTGGATTTCTTATTCCAAAAAATTGTTTTCCGTGTCAGTTCAAAATGATATTGATAATCGCAGGGACTCTTGCAGGAGATTTTTACAGTTCATGAAAGAGAAAGAGGAAGATATGTGGGAGATCTTTAGTGTACCATTGTTTGTGGTTGTTCTTGTGGTGCTGTGGTTGGAGAAGCCTTCTGACGTCACCGAGGCTACCACAGTCACCAGACTCTACCACATCCTCATCAACCACATTATCAACAGGATGACCAGACGCCTCCAACTGTCAACTTTAAGTCTCAGTGAAAGCCAACTTCGAGACAAGATAAACAGTTTTCTTAATTTACTTGGTAATATATTCTGGGAAAACTCTCAAAGGTATAAATACGTCCTTTTTGATTATCAAATTAAAGAAATAGAGAAACTATGTGAGAAGTCTGGGCTGCCGTTCAAGGAATGCATGTCACCGTTCTTCCTGGTGATAGTGAAGCCATCAATCACCGGGACACAAGAAGAGTATCACCCTCTCCACAGGACGGTGCAAGAGTTCCTCGCTGCTCGAGCATTCTGCGACGCCATGATAACCCAGGCTTCTGACGTCCTCACCATCGCTGCTCACTGGATGGTTAAGCACAGGCAAAATTTTACTAAATATTTTCCCAATGAAAAAGAAGTTCATGGAAAAGATAATAATAAGAGAGATTTTGTTATGAATAAGCTCTGTGATGGAAGCGATAATGTGTTTGATAATTATGACTTTGTGGGAGAAAGTATATTTTCTTTAAATTGCCTTTGTCCTATATATGTATCGAGGCTAAGTGCACATTTTGGTGATCCTGGTGAGAGAGAGAGATATTTTTGTTGCCAATATTTCACATTTTGTGTATCAGGAATAACAGGAAGCTTGATCATACCATTTATTTGTGGCATCCTCAAATTTAATAATGAATTAACTCAAAAAAGGGCAGAACAAATAATTTATGTTGTTATATGTGGTCAAGATAAGATTAGAAACTATGTTCTTTGGTTACGTCTTTTGGATGAAACTTATAGAGACTCTGTGTTCCTCAAGGAGTTAACATCCCAAATATCTCCTTATCAATGGAATCCCACACCAAACGAGCTGCCAGAGGTAGGACAACTTTTACAGTTCGTAACCCCGGAGTCGCTGCTCGTTCATCTTTGTGAATTATCTGAATGCACCGATAATAATTTCATTGAAGGACTTCGTATACTTTCCAGATTTCCAATTAGAATCTCCCTTGATTTAGGAAATGGGATGAACAACGTTACAAAAAGTTCCCTCACATTTACTGAGAAGTGCTTGTCACTCCTGCTGGCATCAGGGACCTCGTGTCGACTAATTGCTCTCAGTGGTTCCCTCAACAAGCAAAGTTTAAGTATGCTGTGCCATGCTCGACACCTTGAAGATCTGTATGTAAGAGTCGATACTCTGGAAGATTTGCAAACTTTAGCTCAAATTACAAACAATTTACAAAACCTTACGAACCTGGGTGTCTTCATAAATTTTGTTTTCTCAAATATTAATTACAAATTACTCCCAACATTTAACATTAAACAACATACAGGAGCAAATCTTAGTTTTGCACAAGTTCCCAAAGAACATCTTACGGACTATGGTCATTATTTCTATGGTGAGTTATGTTTGAGGCCTCACAAATGCTCCCCACCCAAGGTTACAAGCCATAAACAAATACACAGATTTGTTAATGTCCGCAGAGGAGGAAAAATGAGTTACTTGTGCAAACCTACATTACCAGCTCTTCCTTATCCCGTCCACCTTGAGGGACTGAAAACAAATGGGATTTATGAGTTCTTTCGAACGATGTGGAACTTGCCGTCTGTACATTGTCATTCTCGATGTAGTGAACGATGCAGGGATCCAGTCCTGTGTTGGGGTAAGTGCAGGCACAAATCCCTCGCGCTACTGCAAACGAAACACCAGTGGTTCCAATGCCACAGAGCAATTAGATATCATCAGTCATGCTTTAAGAGGTTAAGATCGTTTTACAACATTTTGTGGATGATGACTGTTGAAACCTATAAGCCAGGCAAGCTAACATACACAAAATCATATGATCCAATCATCAAAGTGTTCTGTTATAATATTCAGGATCAGCAATTATTGAACAATGAGTGGATTAAGTTAAATATTTTCTCGCTTAAAGTGTGTGAACTTCTGATGTATGAACACAAGATTTGTATCCAACAGCATCGCAAACTTCTGACACACGTGAGAGAACCTTCAATTCCTGTCTCCCCAGTTCGATTTGCATTCATTGATCCATTCATCTTAGACGAAACAACATTCAGATCTATGGTGCATAAACTCTGTCCAACTCCCTTTATGATTGATGCAATAAACATGTCAGAGTATTCGAGAGATACAGACATGGCTTATCGTGTATTACATCTTTGTCAATCATTCCCAAGTATTAAAAGAGTAGCAATTCATTATTGTATTCTTATGGATCAAAAATGGAAATTTAAAACTATGAAAATAATTGATAAAAGTGCACCATATTTTATATATGATATTTTTAGTTCTTGCTAAACTAGCTTCTATATACAATTTTAAATAAGCGCGTCTTTTCATGTGATCTTCTCCTAAGCTAGCAGTCCATTGTTTATCACAGTGAAATGCATCAAGTAAAACATGTGTATGGGGCAAGTAACAAGGTCAGTAGACTAACAGAATGTTGTCACAGCTCGAATAAAAAATTGGCTACAAGTATCTCTGGCAGTTCGGCTTGTAGAGGGAACTAGATGAAGTAAAGTGTAAAGTGTGTGGACAAAGACAAAGACACACGCTAGAACACTATATCTTGGATTGTAGTAAAATTGAGCCATTTAGAGATAAATCTAAGCTCACGCTCTATGATATGGCAACTTATCTTATTACTAAGGATAAAAATACCTGAAATCCTTGCTCTGTATCCATATTTCGCTTCCAGTAGATGAATGACATTACGAGATTAAGAAACAAGTAGTGTATTGTGAAAACTAATAATAAACAGAAGTTCCCCTATGACTGTAATATCTCCATTCCTCAAACAATTATGTATTTGCGATAAGATCTCCCATTAATGTATAATAACGTACTGTAAATATATTGCTCTTGAAATAGAACATTCTCTGTAACTAGCTGACACTATAATTATAAGGTGTAAAGGATAGATGAAATTGTTTATGTAATAATCTAAGTTGAGGTCTGATAAAGAACTTTTGTGCCCTCTGTAATGCTTTTTGCGCTACCGCTCATAGGATGAGTATGGGGTGCACAATAAACTAGCCGCCTCCGGTGGCACCAATTCAAATTCAGTCTACTCCAAGAATTTCATGTGTAATATATTTCATTACAATGACATAATTATATCGCCTTCACGGATGCCAGAAATTGATGAGCAGTCATCAAGCCCAATAAACATATGACAATGGAATAACATTGCATCGACCCATCATCAACGTTACTTTGACGTCATTTAAATTGCAGATACTTAGCAGTCAGTGGGCAAAACATGCTCTAGTTACGTTGAATGAACGTCGTTTGTTTAACATGTGCCCAGAGTTAGTTTTCCCAGAAGACACGAGACATAGACACAACGTTATTTTGAATACATTTACGTCAGTTCAAAGTTGTAAAAACGTAATAACCAAAAAAACGTTGTATTTAAGTTATGTGTTTGCTGGGTGATCTTTAAGGAGTGTAGTATGGTCACTACAACAGACAGCCGATCCATATATTGTCTTCGCAGTAAAGATCTAAATTGATATTTAAACTTTCATGAAGAAAGAAGACAGAGGAAAAGAAAGAGGGACGGAGAGTACGTGTGTGTGGTAAAAAATAAAAGAAATACCTTAGAAAAGGGAACGTAGAAGAAATAAAGTAAAGAAGAGGAAGAAGAAAAAAAAAGAGAGAAATATTTACACCTTCCCATTAACTTCCCCCTCTGATCCTCCAGGGGATATAGGAGCCATTGTGACCTGAAATGTCTACAATAGGGAAAACCTTACCCAGTAACTGCTATCTAAAGTTAGTTGGCAATTATTTTAAGTCTGGAGAGAATTTACAATACTGTAAGGAACCACTGGCCAAGTTTCCTCTCCTGCAGTGAGTTTGTTTACAAATATAAACTAATACAAATACACATGTTTAAAGATTTATATATATATTTGGTTAAAAAAAATATTTATTATATATTTATAATTTTAAGGTAAAACTTTAAATTTGATCTGATTGTATTGGTTCAAAAATAATATGCTTCCAAGCTTTATTTAACTTTATTATTCATTTATATGAGAACAGTTTGAGAAATCATCTAGGGATTAATCGGGTTTACAGCTGACCCATCTTGCCGATCGATATTCTTACTGTGCTTTAGCTTAAATATACAAATAGGAAGTAGAAAGGCCGCCTCCCTGCTGGGAAAGATCAAGTAAATTCTGTACATTCTGTACCAAAGTTCAATTGTGTTTGCTTTTGTTTTGAAATTATTAAATTAATTTGCTTTCTTTCCTTTTATACCATGAATATACAGTATGCTAATTTGTCAGCATTCATTAACTATCACATTGAGTTTGATTATTGATTTATATATTCAATTTAAGTCATGTAACGTGTTGCAGGCTGTAGTGTTGACAATAATGTATTATAATTATTCAGGGTTTGTTAAGAGAATAATTGATTCAAATTAAGTAGGTGAAAACTAGAATGTGTTTGAACCGTTTTTCTTTATCTTGTATATTGTAATAAACTCTTTATGCCTACCTTTGCCATTTTTCCTCCATGTGAAGATAAAATTTAAAAAAATTATACTTATATAAGCGTATAATTATACTTATAGTAAGAGCGGCGAAGTTCAGCTTGTTTGGGGCGCCAGCACCCATAGAGCTGGCCCCAATTTATTCATATGGGACCTCATACCCATCCTGTAAGTTGAAGTGGACCCCATACCCATCATGTGAGTTGTAGTGGACCCCATACCCATCATGTGAGTTGTAGTGGACCCCATACCCATCATGTGAGTTGTATTGGACCCCATACCCGTCATGTGAGTTGTAGTGGACCCCATACCCATCCTGTGAAATATAATGGACCCCATACCCATCCTGTGAGTTATAGTGGACCCCTTACCCATCGTGTGAATTAAAGTAGACCTCATAACCATCGTATGAATGTTAGTGGACCCATGGGCATCCTGTGAGTAGTAACAGACACAAACCCATTCTGTATTTGGATCTGGAAAGGGTTATCAAGGTACATAATGTGTTCGGGAACATTTAGCTGAGGAAGTTAGTGTTGATAAACTAGTTACAAAGTGTAAGATAAATAACAATAATGGGTTTAAGAACTGGGCCACGATAGCCTCCTAGCTAAGAATTTAATATTTATGCTGATACAGACCTGGACTAGGTATAATAAAGCATTTAGACAACTAATTACGAAACCTGTACATCTTTCCTTAATCATGGCAGTTTTTTCTACACTTATTAAATAGTTTACGAGCTTAGAAACTTCACAACTCAAGGTTATTATTGTTATAAACAACCGCGTAGTGCTGCGGGGCTCACAAACCGGTCAACAGATGTAAACAAAGCCGCCATGATTAAGGAAAGATGTACTGGTTGTGTAAATGTTTAATGACTCCCGGTCCTGACCACATGAAGATGGACGGTACCTCCTCTGGGCTGTGTTTGCTACTGTTGATCTGTACAGGTAAGTGTGTTTCAGCAGCTTGGCAGACTCTGCCTCCCGTTGGCTGTGTACATTTCGGTATGCAGAAAAAACGTCACAATAACGTGGGTGTAACAAATACCCTGAATGAAGAACAAATAAAATTGCTCTTCATTCTTTAAAATGGACAAGTAAATTTTGGATAAATTGTTAGGATGTCGTCCTGAACACCTGAGTCAATGAAATAGTTACACAGTTTGTGGTACAGGAGGCCAGGAGGTCTAAAGTCTTTTACTGTTTCACATTCAACAATATAGTGTTCTAATGAATGCATTAAGGGGGCCAATAGATTCAATATGCAGGCGATGAGTCACAATAACGTGGCAGAAGTAGTTTGACGGATGGCAGACCACACACTAGAAGGTGAAGGGACGACGACGTTTCGGTCCGTCCTGGACCATTCTCAAGTCAATTGTGAATGGACTTAAGAATCGACTTGAGAATGATCCAGGACGGACCGAAACGTCGTCTTCCCTTCACCTTCTAGTGTGTGTTCTGGTCAAACAATAGATTCAAATATGCCAAAAATGAAAACTGATTCGATTTCAGTCAAACTTTTTTGACGAGTTGTATATGAAAAGGGTTTCATTGGTCCAAATCTCAGCATCGTAGCATAAATAGGGAGAAAAAAATATTGAATTGTGTCAAAAATTTTCCAAAATGGTCACAAACGATTATCAAACACAAGTGTCACCTGAAATCATGTCTATGACTCCCAGCTATCACAATAGCATATATTAAACAAATATTATAATTAGTTTTATTTAAAAAAATAAGTTAATTTTTTTTTTTCATTTTTTTTATCGGACGATTTGCATGAAACTTATACACCTGACTGCACATAAGCCTATCTGTAAGGGTACCAATTTTGGAGAAAATTGGTTGATGTCAACCTCAGCCACAGATGGCAGCACCTTTCAGACTTTATATTTTAATGATTTATTTTTCAAGTAACATAAACGACTTCAACCTCTTTTATTTTTATTAAATTTACATGAAACTTACACCTTATATGTAAAGTTTATGTCTCTAAAATCTGAGGTTGTTTTGTTTCCCCAAGTTCATTTATTGATTTTATAATAGCAATAAACATGACATATTTGCATAATTGTTTTGGGGAACTTTGACTATTTGTATCAGGAAAACTAAAGATGTTTTGGAAACTTCCAAACAACAGATCCTTTATTATATGCCAATGTGTCAGAAAAGTGTCATAGAATGATTATATCTGAAAAGGTGAAAGGTTTGAACACAGTTGGTGGTACAAGAGGCCAGGAGGTCTAAAGTCCTTTACGGTTTCACATTCAACAATATAGTGTTCTAGTGAATGTATTAAAGGTTTATCACAGAGTTTACAATCTGAGTATTCTGGTATTGGCTCAGCCTCACTAACCTGCCAAATGTGTCTATAGCCAAGGCGAATTCGCGGAATGACTATATCACATTGCCTGGTCCGGTTACTGTGCTGACCATACAAATACCTATTATAGCTTTTATTTATTTATCATAGCTTTTAATACAAAACTTGTCATGGCATTTAATACTGCAGCTTTCAGGTCTCTGGGTATTTCTTAGTTCTTCTAAATCTGAATGAATTTCTTTACTTTGTATGCTTCTAATAATTGTATTATATAGTCCAAAGTCATAATAAATGTTTTCTTTCCTGCAAGCCTCATTGGCCAATCGATCTACAAAGTCATGTTTTCGAACTCCAACATGGGATGGGATCTACACAAATTTTGTACAGTAGATATTATCATTGGCAAAAATTACATTCCATTTATTATTACAAGCTATATTATGTCAATGGATATATTACGACCATGGTTATCTTTCGACGCTGGATATCTTACACCACTGGACATCTTACTTCTCTCGATATCTTACGAGCATGGATATCTTATGGCACAGGGTATTACAGCCCAGGATATCTTATGACGCGGCATATTTTACAGCTTTAGATATATTATAGATCTTACGGTCCTGGATATCTAACAGCCCTTGATATCTT